GAGTGAGTTTTGAGTACTTTCGGCTCGAAAAGCCGATGCGATGCAAGTCAAGCTATGTACAGTACCGCTACGTACATAGCTTGACTTGCACGCGCGCAGTAGAGCCTACGCTGAGCGCGCGTGAGCACCACACAGCCAAACAATCACGTGAATCCGACCTCTACTGTATGTGCCACCTACGAGCTCTTGTCGCCCGCCGGATCTTTGTCAGGTGTCAGTCAGTCAGTCAGTCAAAGGCAGATAGATCAGAAGAGCGCAGTTCACGAACGAGACGAGAACCATCGTGGTGCGGGCTCGTCTCAAAGCTCACAGCTCGAATCTGAATCGTGAACGTCCATACGCATCCTTGCTCCAGCAAAGCCCAACGTTCGCCGTCTCGTCAGCCAGCGATCGAGACGAGAAGCTCGGAGACCGCACTCGGTCAGGCGTGAATCGAGACAAGTACATCGAGCGTAACCCCCGACGTCCATCCTTTCTTCTGCGCGTCACGCTTCTCTTAGCCGTTCATCATAGGCAGCGACGTCTCGAAAGGTCATCTGTATTGCCTCGGTCTGGTCATCTGCCGAGGAAACCGCGATGTGGGACAGTGGCGGAAATTGTCGGTCGTAATCTAACCGGAGAGATGAGATGTACTACATTGGTGGTGTGATGTATTGTGGAGGTGAGCTCGAAAGGCAAAAAGAGGGAAAGGCGGTGGATGAGGAGGAAGACTTGGCCGCATGGGTGGTCATGAAGAATGCGTGTGCCATGTATGCATGCGATGATTCTGATCTGCGTCTTGCGTGGAGAATTGTCCCTCTCCGTGAAAATGAGCGCGCAAAAGGATGGAATGCCGTGGTGGGTAAAAGGTGGACGCCAGCGCACAAGCCTTGATGATCGGTCGATCTTTTGCTCCATAGGACGCTCAATAAGCACGCTGGCCAGTCAATTGTTGAAGGTGGTCTGCACTGTCATCAGCAGCCATTTCATCAGTGTCCGCCGCCTCAGCCTTTTGTCGGTTGAAGTCGCCGCTTACGTCTTGAGGTGGCGAGTGAGCTGCACCAGCTGCAGTGTTCCCATTGGCCTTTTGGCTGTCGTTGAGCACGCTACCAGCAGCGTCGGACTGGGTAGCGCCTGACGTCGCGCGAGAGTGAGTAATCAGCGGCGTCGTCTTCCTCGAGGTGCTTGGTGGGAGAACGGATTCGGCAGGAGCGTACCCCTGGTGCTCGAACAAGTCAACCAGCAAGTCGTCATTCTCGTCGATCTCGCTCATCTCGTCGTCCTCGTCGTAGAACAGACCAAAGAAGTCGACGGCCCAATTGCGGACGTATACAGAAGCCTTCATGAACTTGGAGCTGCCGTACTTCTTGAAGAGGCTTTGATGAATGACCGGACGCAAGCAGTAGTCGAGCATCACTTCCGCTGTCGACAACAGCTCTGCCTCGGAATACGACGAGTAGTGTACCAACGTTGGAGTCCAGTCACCTCGGTCCAGACACTTGCGTGCGAGCCACGCCGACGCCGCCGCGACGAGCGACGGTGGCGATGCAATGAGACGGTGGTCGACCAGAGAAATTTCCATGCTGAAGGCGAGGTGATGATGACACATGGCATGAGCGCCCAACCTTCGCGATCTCGCATCCATGCTCGATTTGACTCACAAGTACTTGGCCACTGTTCGCGTTTGAATGTCGTAATTGTCCGCCTTGGAGATGCGTCGCAGGAAGTTCATCGGGTTGGCGTAGCTGAGGTTGAATCCAAGAATCTTCAGCATGTATTGCTCAGCACGAAGAATTTCATCCTCAGAGTAGCCGCCTTCTGCGATGTAGACCCAGTTGCTGACCGAGGGGCACAGAACCTCTTCGTACTTGGAGGCGACGAACATGGCCGTGAGCCCAACCAACTGCAATTTGCTGACGTTGATGATACGTTTGGACAAGAATCTGTCGACGATGTTGAGGCCCAAGAAGAGAGTCTCTGGCAACAACCGGAACTTCTTGTGCACGTCGATGAGCCAGTCGACGAGGACACCGCGCATCTTCCAAGTCAAGTCCCGCTGTGAGTCCATGTAATCTGGGCTGGGCATGCAATTGATCTGTGCAGGGTCAAGTTTGTCGTGCATTAGCAACGCGGCATGACCATGTCGACGACGTACAACTCACCTCCAACTGCTTCATATACACGAAGATTTCATTGACATACTCGGCAACCATAAGAGGGTCGTCAACATCTTCAGCATCGAGGTCTTCCCAGCCTTCATCCTTATCATCTGCGTGTGTGATGGGTAAACCAGCGTCTGCAGCTTCGGCAGAAGCTTTCGCAGCGGCGGCGGAGACCTCATCAACACGTGGTCGTTTGGCTGCACGTGCGGTAGCATCCTGATTGGATGCGGCGGCGCTGTCTCCTTTTCTCGAGTCCGTCGCCGTGGTCTTTCGGGTTGCATTTCCTGAAGGTGCTGCGATCCTCGACGAGCCTGCGCGTGAGCCTGCAACGCGCGTAGCGCCGGTAGCTGCGGTCGATGCACCTCTGGCTGGCCTGGCAGGGGCTGTAGTGGACGTCGTCGGGGCCATCGCACTCCTCGACCGCGCCGTGGTGGCAGCAGCCGTCGACGTCTCTTTGAGGCCAGTGTTGGAAGAGGTTGCGCGTTGCTTGCCATCCGCCACGTTGCTCGAAGCCTTGGCCCTGGCAGCGTTGGCGTTGGTCACATCACCCAAGGCTGAGCGTTTACGCGTTCCAAGCACGTTAGCACCTGCAACATTGGTAGCGCCGATGGCAGCTCCATCCGTCTTGCTGGGTGCCTTGCCAGCCACTTTGCTGCTTCCGACTTCTCCTCCCGCCGCAGCCGACGATCCAGTCGCGTTCTTCGCCCTCAGACGCGTCGTACGAGTAGCAGCAGGCTCGCCGGCAGGTACGCGCCTCGCTCCCTGGACGCAATGGAGACAATGGCCGTCAGCAAACAGAGACGGGAGAGGAGCTCAAGCGAGCGCGATGCCCAGGATTGGGTGCCTAACATATTCGCCGGCCCGGCTCTTGTCGTAGAGTCCTGGGCTGCTACGCCAGACGCGAGGACTCTCGATGAATCCGACCAGTGCACGCGAAACGGCGTCTTAACAAATGGTAGTGACGCAAGTCTACGAAGGTGAAGCTGGTCTATCAAGACACATCATGAAGGACTGCTTCGTCCTTCGAGGACGCACGACTGCTTCGAGATGAGTAGTCCCGCGTCACATTCTCTCTTGGCCCAGCTCCCCATGCTGACTGACATGCATCAATGAGCAACTCACAGCAGTGCTGGACGCAGGAGGCATTGTCGATGGTGTCGATGAAGTTCCTGGTGGCCGTGGATGGGTCAATTACGAGCTCAAGCCCAAGATGAATGCTCCAATGACAGCGAAGGCGCAAGGCAGAGGGATTGAGCGGCTGAAAGAAGGAGGATGCCGGTGCTGCGTGCGCTAAGCAGGCGATGTCCCGAAGCAGCCTGGATGGCCGACGGCTGAGAATAGCAGAAATGCCCAAGAGGCAGATGATGATGAAGGTACTATGATGAGGCCAAGCCCTGAAGGTTTTGAGACGTGATTATCCTGATGAGTCCCCTCCCTGCATGCCTGTCACCCGTCGCGAAGCCTGGTGTACCTAACGCCCAGCGATCGCGTGAACTTCCACTCACACTCCACCCGGCAACTGCAGGCAG